CCTAAGGCTTTGTTGTCTATACTTCTGCTTCGAATATTGTTTATGACAGAAGCATGATGTCATGTCTAAATCTGTACCAGGAATTATGATAATCTGCTTTGGTTTATCTTTCTGAAGCAAGGTATTTCCATGAGCACAGCTTTTGGATAAGTTAAGATAAACACAATATATCAAATGTAGATAAGACTAAAAGCCAGTTATTAATATCCTTGAAGAAACTCCACTTGACGTGTAAACACTTGTGCTTTTATTTCAAACTCCCATGCATCCTAAACATCTAAAGTTCCAGTGTATTCTAAATATCTAAGGGTCTCATTTGCTTTTGTTTTCTCTCAGCGATTTCACAAAACAACCAAAAGAAGTGGTTTTTTTTGTTGTTGTTGTTTTGTTTTGTTTTGTTTTGTTTTCCCCAATGATGAATTAAGACCAATTATGACCTATTTGGTTGCCAATAATAACTTAGCTGATTGACCTTCACATTTATGGGAAAATGACTTTTCTCAGTTTGCATTCACTATGAATAAGTCATTCTCGGCAGCCCTGTTCTGGACCTGGGGCGATCCTTGCATTGGTACTGAACATTATCAACCTTGCTGTTTGAAATGTGTTCCTGTGTTTTTTGGCAGGAGTGGATATTAAGGTTTAAAAATTAAATCAGAGACTTTTCATTTCTACCGGAGAATAATCACATTTCTTATTTATTTTTAAGCAGTCATCTCAGTGGAGTCACACATTTTGCTTATACTATGACTTATAGATCATAAAGCAATAGTAACAGACAATTATTATTATTAAAATTATTATGATGATGCATTATTTTACATTAACGTTTTCAATATAATAACTTGGATCAATACTGTAGTTAAGTCAAAGAAGCCCTACAATCTCAGATGATAAAATGCTTTTTTAAAAAAATGAGAATTTACAGGATAATCTAGCCACATTTGAAAAATGTTATTCTATTCAACTTGTGAGAGACATGAAACTAAGTCTCTCAAATATATAAATGGCCAATTTTTGTAATACCCTAGGATGTTAAAGGAGAAGAGTGACAGGAGACCTAATAGTGACTTCTCTGACACCTGTAAGAAACAGAAAGGGCAGATCAGGAGGAAGCCAAGGAGCCTTTTTTTTTTTTTTTTTTTGGAAATGGCTTTAAAGGCTTACCCTCTCGACACTGATGTCATGATTTCTACTCCATTATCTATCAGAATACTGACTTAAATGTCATCCCTGAACTCCTGGCCAGACTTGATATTCTTTTCTTTATTCTTATCCTCTGAGCTCTTGCTTTGTCATTTGACCCTACTTCAGACGCTGTATGTTTAATGTATGGCCCTTTCACTCCCTTTTGGTTTCCTCTCTGTTATTTTAATGGGGGACACACACCAACTCTAAGCTTTGAATGGTCCAAAAATATTAGTCACATTATGAATCATTTTCATTTGTTGAATACATACAAGGTTCTATCTCTTTTAATCATCATAGCATGTATATAGCCTGCCTCACTAATTTAGGTGCATAATATTGATCTACTGTGTGTGCCTGCACGCACTTGTGTGAGAATCTGTGTGACTGTCTCAATCTCTATAGGTTTGAATTGTATTTGCTCGGTCAAATTTTAAGTGCTTAAACAGAGAAAACGTTAAATGCAACTTGAGCATCTGATTTAGAGATACAACCATGTTCAAATAGTATTGTGGCCCATAATCAATGTTTATGAGTCACTAAAGTTCCATAGGCTCAACTTTTCCATCTTTAAAACATAAATAACAGCAAGACCCTCCTAAGATGTAATCAAATAGAAATGTGTGTACACATACACATACATACACACATTTGTATATATATGTATGTATGTGTGTATATATCATACAATGACCCTCAAGAAATTAATTCTTCCTATATTTTAAATTTCCCCCAGGCCATTCATTCTAGTAAGCACAATATTGTGCTCAATTTCTACATTTAGGTTTGATTGAATAAAACTGAACTATTAGGAAAATTGGGATGTATGACATTTATCACTAAAATCCCTTACAATATTCTCTCAAAATGGTAAATTATAATAGCATTTATAATTATTAAATTACTAATAATTATTTTATTTTTAAAGAGAATACTGATTCAGGTCAGGGAGTGGCATACACCTGTAATATCAGTGGCTCAGGAGGCTGAGGCAGGAGGTCCACAAGTTCACAGCCAGTCTGAGCGATTCAGGGAAGTTCTGTCTCAAAAGAAAGTATCAAAAGACCTGGGCATGCTGAGGCTATGGCTCAGAGGTAGCGCTCTTGCCTGGCATGCGTGACACACTGTGTTCGATTCTCAGCACCGCATGTAAATAAAGTTAAAAAACATTCATTGAAAAAAAAAAAGGGGGCTGGGGTTGTAGCTGAGTGGTAGTGTGCTTGCCTCTCATGCATGAGGCACTGGGTTAAATTCTCAGCACCACATAAAAATAAATAAATAAAAATAAAGATAGTGTGTCCATCTATAACTAAAAAAGAAATTTTTAAAAAAGAGTTGGGGATGTGGTTCAGTCATGGTTATGTGCCTCTGGGCTCAATCCCTGGTACAAAGAAAGAAAAAGAAAATGCTTATGTCATGAAAATAGATGCACTATATTTTTTGTGTGTTTTGTAAGTATTAACAGAGTTATTGAACATATTATTCATTTGGAAGTTTCCTAAATACAAAAACATAGCATCTGATTTGTATTTGATTGAGTTCATTTACCATGACTTATTTGATTTGGCCTTAAATTTAATTAACAGGCTTATAGATGGTACAATTAGCTGAAGAAGAGTGCCACCACAGAAAAATTGAAGTGGGAATCAAGGAATTCATGAAAATAAAATCTAAATTTTTTTTTTGTACTGTGGATTGAACTCAGGAATACTTGACCACTGAGCCACATCCCCAGCCCTATTTTGTATTTATTTAGAGACAGGATCTCACTGAGTTTTCTTAGTACTTTGCTTTTGCTGAGGCTGGCTTTGAACTTGTGATACTCTTGTCTCAGCCTCCAGACCGGATGGGATTACAGGTGTGTACCACCGTGCCTGGCAAAAGCCAACATCTTGATGTGAAATCCTGAAGATCGTACAGTAGTATTTTTTCTGGCAAAGATTTATACTTAATGCACCAATGACAGCAGCTTTAGTGAAATAGAAATGTTTCTTAGTCCCAAAGAATCCAGGCTCCTGATGAGCTGATGTGGAGATAATTATTTATAATAGCACTTACTGGTAAAGAGAAAAGAGTGAAACCTTAGCCAGGCACTTAGATGTGTGACTAAGGCGGGTTTATTTCTGATTCTAAAGCACTGGAGTGGAAGTCACACGGTGACTCAGAGCATTGTGACGACCCAGCTGTCCACAGGAATGCCTCTCCAGTGTGTGGTCAGGCATCACTGTGCCAGAGGGAACACTCACTGCAGTATAGTCATCTGTACTCATCTACCCGACACAGTGTCAACACTGGTGAGAGAGAGGAACATGCAGTTCATTTATCTCCAATACTTTGAAGACAGTTTTCACTGATTTCCAAAGTGCATATGAAATGGCATCCTGGACGGTTCAGCTAGTATTGAAAACAATACCAAGGGCCATTTTCATGAAGAGTTTGATGATTTTCTTCTACCGTGCTAGTCTGATTTATTTTACTGGGAGCCATTCATTCACTGGGGAAAGAAGCAGCCTGCCTCTTTTGACAAATTCATTAACAGCTATCCGTCCCTTGTCATAGGAATATTTCATGTAAGTCAACCTAATTAGACAAGTCACACAGGATAACAAGTATATACCAAGGCAGATAAGCACATAGCTCATCTCATTTGCACCCATCAGATGCACTCCTTTTCTCAAGAAGAGCCACTGCTGTTTTCTTGTAACTTGGTTACTTGTTACTTTGAAAATTCTCAGAATTTGGGAGTACAAGGAACAGGCTCCAAACCTGCTCATATAAATAAATAAGTAAAATCCCTCTATAACATATTTTATACTTTGATATTGTTTTTACTTAAATGCCAAAATACTGCCATTCTACATTATTTTTCATAATAATTTTACTCTATTTTTTTTCAAGTCTAGTTCATTTAAGGATAGCTGCGCATACAATTACATTTCTTTCATGAATAAATCCATTGGGGTAATCAAAGTTTATAGGCCTAAAAAGTATATTGTTTTGTTGGTTTTAGCCATTCTTGATGAGATACCCATTCACACAATAATTCCTCTGTGTGTTCTACTTTCCCCAGGAAGACATTTTTGACATTTTATTTTTTAAATCAGGGTTAGGGTCTTCCTCTTTTTGCTCACAGAATACTTTGTCTTTACCTATATTGTATTTTTCTGATTTCTTGTCTGTTTTTTCCTACAAACTATGAGATCCTTGAAGCAGGGACTATTATATTCATCTTTGTCTCCCCCAAACATGTATAAAAATGCTTGTTTGTAGAAGATACTTTAAAAGCATTCACTGAATAAAGGAACAGCATCAAGTTCTTAATCTAGGATCCAAGTTAACTACTTGTAAAAAAAAATACGTTTTCCTACCAACAATGAAAAAGAATACAATTGACTAACTTGATGAGCAGGCATTAAGATCCAAGTTATGGCCTATTTGCTGATTTAGCTCATGGTCCATAAATAGTACCATTTTAAAGCTTTGAATCGAAGGACTTTTCAATATTTTGATACTATTTACATGAACCACAGAGACCCCAAATACACACCTTTAAATTGTTCATGATGACTAGACAGCAAAAAAGGAAACAATAGGCATGATTATATTTCAATATCTAGGTCTTGAAATTCAGGGCAGAGAGGTGGCAGTATCATTTTATCTTGAGAACGGAAAGTCAGGAGTCTTGTGAAACGTGATGCAGTTGCTTCCATGGAATATTGTCAGACCAATAGGAGATTGCGAAGAACTTTTATGGACAGTATAAATATTTTGAGCCGTGGGCATCATTACCAGCTGATATTTTCTTCCCTTAGGACCAGCTGTTCAGGAGCATCCCGGACTAGAGCCAGGCACAGTTGAGACTTGGATCTAACTAAAGACGGCTGCGGATTCTTCTGCAGCAATGTCGGTGTTAGAAGAAAGTCGACCATTTGCTCAACAGTTATCCAATGTCTACTTTACAATACTTTCACTTTTCTGTTTTAAACTTTTTGTGAAAATCAGCCTTGCCATCCTCAGTCATTTCTACATTGTGAAAGGGAATCGCAAGGAAGCGGCGAGGATAGCAGCTGAGTTTTATGGAGTAACCCAAGGACAAGGTACGTTTGCGATTCGCTCTCCCATTTCAAGTTGAATTTAACTATCATCTGATTTGTAATCCAAGAAAACATCACATGTTTTCTTTATGGACAGCTTCAAAGTAAATATTTTGTAAACTTCTGTTAAGAAAAATTCTTGTCACTCATTTCATTGCATCATGAAGAAGAAAATTACTTTTCAGTGTGCATGTTTGGGTTAAAATCAAGGTATCCTTGCAAAATTGGTTGATGGAAAAACACTGTTATTCATGTATATCTCTTTCTATTAATAAGTGTTTAAAAACTTTAAACATTTCTCTTGCCAAGTCATGGTTTTAAAGGTAACTGATTGCATTTCAAGTGTGCTTTGACCTGCACCTGCATTATAATAGTTTAAATCAAATATTTAGTAGTTAAAAGAATTTTTATTCAAAAGAGATTTCAAGATTTTATTTCACACAATTTTATAACTCAATTCTAAAGCAAAACACAAAAAAGGAAGATTTATGGCATGTGTTTTCCTAAAGGGATTGTTATTGCTTTGCTCAGTTTGTGAAAAATTGATTATAAAAGGATAGGAACATGAATTAGCAAATTTTCTATGGGTGCAGCCAAGCACATCCATGTTTGTTAGAAGAAATTGAAATGTGTGGTGAAATGAAAAAACTGCAATATTAATCATATGCTTTAAAGGCCGTAAAACCATTTATATTCTATTGGACCAATATTCTATGATATTGGTAAAAATGATTCAGATGGTGAGCTTAAAAATGACATTTTAATTTCTTATAGTCTTTCAGCTCATTTCTGATTTGAAATGAATCAAGGCATGCATGAACATTTTATAGCCCAAATACCTCTAGAGCAATTTAAATTTTCATTATCAAAATTTAGTGTCACATAATTAGAAAATACAGAATTCAAAAAAGGAGCACTTAGAGTAGAAAGTTCAACTTCTTAAACACTACTTGTCAATTTGTTTCATAATTCATCTTAAAATCTATCTTACTCTATCAATATATGGAAACTTGAGTGGAAAATATTTTGTGATGTGTGAGGTAGATAGAGTATTTTTTCTGAGAAAGATTACTTTTGTGGAAAGTGAGGAATTTATATACTCACTCAAAGTGAGGAAAATCATAATGCCAATAGGAAATTGTAATAGGAAACATGAAATCCAGAGGAAATAGGAAAAATTCAATCCTTTACCTAATAACTCTGCTTCAAAACAGGCATAAATATTTAAATACGACTTGTTTACTATGTCATCCAACTGAAAATAACAAATTCAGTTGACAAATGGGATACTTCTGTGTGAAAACAGCAAACACAGAAAATTAAACTTAAAACAGGTAAGATTTTGAAGTGATAAAATTTACTCTTGTTGGCAGCCTATAGGTCATTACTTCATAGTGAAATCTTATATATGCACAATGAGTATTAACTTACATAAAACACTGGAATACTTGCTAAAAAGAAGAATTTTTATTAAAGTTATTGGCAAGGGTTTTGGAGGATGTTTTAAAAACTCCTTTTTGTTCATATTTACAAATAAAAAGACAGTTCTGCTTGGAGTTGTAGTTCAGTGATAGAGTATGTGCCTAGTACAAGCAAAATGCTTGAGTTCAATTTCCAGCATGGTGAGAGAGAAAGAAAGAGAGAGAGAGAGAGAGAGAGAGAGAGAGAGAGAGAGAGAGAGAGAGAGATAACGACAAAGACATCTCCCTTTAAAATGATCTTAGTGGGCTTATACAGGAAATAGCTCCCGTGTTCCCATTAACTCTTTTGATTTCATCTTAGGATATATTAGACCTCTAGGATTTTGTCTCAACACAGAGTCAGGAAGGAAATCAATACTCACTAGTAGAAAATATTTTTTCCTGTAAATCTAAAATGGGAATGAAGTTATAAAAAGCTTTGTGTTGTTTTTAATGTTAGGCCTATTTAACGAAACTCTACTTTCCAATATCATACATTAATCTATATATTTAACAATAGAAAATGTAATTTTTATTCAGTGCAAGCACAATTAGTATATAATTTTATTTTAGTATTAGAAGACTAAATCAAGTACTTACAAAAACTCTTAGTCTCTTACTGCTAAGAAAAAATTCTTCCTTGCCCAGGAAATTATTTCCTCCATTTAGCATAAATTTTTGTCTTTCTCTCTCCACCCCACCCCCCTTTTTTTTTTACTATAATTAAACTAATTTTATTTTGTTTGTATCTTCCAGGTTGACTATTCAGGTTCAGTTATCTTTGTTTAATCCAGCAATTTCCTTCTTCCTTGGAAAGATTATCACCTTCATTTCACTTTGAATTAGGTTTCTCATTCCTACTCTCAAGGATTAGCCAGATTGCTCCCCAAAATATCTGTGAGCAGTTGCCAAATTCCATGGAGTAAAATACGATGTACATGTTTTCATGTCTTTCATAATCAAAGACCTTGTTGACATTCTAGATGTCCTCCTCCTGGGCAGAACTACTTTGGTTTGAAATAAAAGAGGCTGTTGGTTTTTCTCAGTACTAATATAATTACAGTTCACAGTAGCAGACAAATGTAGTTTTTAAAAGAAATTTCCAACCAGCTGAGACCTAGGTATGATTATATACCAGAATGCCGAAAAGCTATGTGGTAGTTAAAATAGCTTAAAACATTTCCTTCTTGATCCCTTTGTGATTCGAATACATTTTACAAACCTATTTTTTTTAACCTCTGAAGATTTATCAACCCCACCGTCATATTAAAGGGACTTATTCTTTGTTATGCTTTTCTATTTAACCATCTCTGGTATCATTCTTGCTGTTAAATGACTCTGTATATCAGAGGTCAAGTCTATTTTTAAAGCTAGCACTATACTTTGAGAACAACAGTGGGATTCAATAGAATTGAGAGGTGTTTTCAATGTAATATTAAACAGTACAGAGGACAAATATAGATGTTGAGGAAGATGTTCATTTGGTGAAATCACTCTGAAGGCATAGAAATACTCCAAAGCCATGAACTACAAATATCCCAAGAATATTAAGAGGCAGTTCTTTTGTTAAGGGCAATACTTTCCAAATTCCATCTTAGGCTCTGAAAGGATTTGGCAGTTTTACCTTCAAGCAGACGGGGCCAGTTTTTGGCATCTGTTTCTTGAACATCTTTGATTATCAAGATAATGAAGATATAGGATACAAAAAATGCAAAATGTATTGTTATTATTCTTAAGTAGTTTGTATCCTTATTGAGGAGATGAGACACCCACATATGATACTCACTTTTAGACCTACTAAATGGCAAACAAATTAAAGAATGAAAGGATCAATTTCAGATATGGACTTTCAGGGATATCTTTATGGAGAAGACAAAAGTTGAGTTGACCTCAGAAATGAGTGAAAGCATGGATTTGGGGATGCTTGTGGTATATTGTGAAACAAAGAGTTTGGCTAGAGTTGAAAGTTCATGCAGTAGAAAGAAATAATAACTTGGACTCAGATATGAAAGAATTTGAATGGCAAGCTATGCAATTTGGACTTGACTTTGAAAGCAGTTGAAGTCACTAAGAGTTTTTGGTAGGAATAAGTTGGGAAGATAGGAAAAAATATGTAGGAAACCATAATGCAAGGTAGATTAATATAGTAGTCATCTTTGGGATTAGACAATGGAACAGATTTGCAGTAAGTGGGTCAGTTAGAACCTTGCCATAGATGAGGCTAAACTGATTTGATGATACTGGTGTGAACAGAAAATCAAGAATAACCACAAAAAAATAAAGAAAGAGAAAAGGAAAGAAAAAAGAATGAATCTGATGATGACTTTAAAGAGCATTAGCAGAGTGAGCAATCATTACTGTAGGTAACTGAGGGTCTCCAGAAGGAGATGTTAATATGACAGTCAGAAGAGGGATTGATCAGCCACACAGGTCAATGTACAGCTCCCAGGCAAGGCCACCTGGGGGAGGTAGACCTTCAGCTACTTGGTGTGTATAGAAGGTCACCTACCTATCTCTACTGTGACAAACCAAGGTAAACAGAAAGTGGTAACTAGAATCTGAATTCTAGTCTTGCAGTTGATTTATTTAGTGTATTTCCTTTGCTCCACTTTCCTGTTCTCAGGTAGCCAGCCTTCTGGTTATGATTTTTTCCCTCACTAAAAATGAATGTGCTGACTTACCCACCAGAGAGTTCTAGTCCTTCTGAGACTTTTAGTGCTTATTATAAATTAGTATGTTAGCATCTTGATACCAATCTTTAGTGTCCTGTGCTTTTTGAGCTATAAATCTATCTATCTCTGGTAGATTTTTACCAGCTTTGCTAATAGATCAGGTTTCAGAGTCTGCAAGGCCCTGGGCCAAATTTTGGATTGTGGAAAATTCCTCAAGGTAATATGTATCTATGGGGCCACTTGAGAAGCATTCTGTTGACACTCGGCCTCACCAGGCACTCCTTTTATGGTTGGAACTATTCTATGTGGATCGTAGAATATATGTAGAACATTCCAATACAATGATTTTGCTTGTTATTTTTGTAAGTTGGGTTTTAAGGTTGTCATTAATCGAATAATTATTTTTGGTTCCAACTGCAATTGACACCTGGAAGTAGGATACGGTGTAAACATGCCACCTCAAGTTAAAAAAAAAAACTTTTAGTTTGGGGGAGTAGTGTGACCTGGGTAGGAAAAGTGTCTATAATTTTATATGATAAAATATCTTTTTTTCCCCTCCATCACTAAAGTCCATCCTAGGATTAAAATCAACTTTAGGAATTCAACTCGAAGGCCATTGCCAGCAATTTCAGGCGTTTCTAAGGAAGAATTTACTTTATATGATTTTTGGTGCTACCATATTGACTGTGCACAAGATTAATTATGGTAGGAACATTTCTCAAAATCTCAGGAGTCAAATCTGCAAGATGACCTCTTTGGTGGTTTTCATTATATGAATGTACAAAAATAGCCTCAATATAGTTTGGACACATATTCTGTACTTAGGTGAAACAACTACATAAGAATAACTGAAACCAATAGAACCATTTTT